TGGAAAAAAAACACCTGGTCTCCTTACATTCAGCCACTCTTTCATCATCTCCTCAATGAGGTGGTCTCAAAAGTCGCAGTTACAACACACATAAGGTGCACCGCACCATAGGGCGCACTGCACATTTTGAGGGAAAAAAAAGACGTTTAAGTGCGCCTTATAGTCGTGAAAATACGGTAGAAGAACTCAGGCAATTTTCCAGTCTCCTGGAATTTTATTCCAAATTAGTGGAACGTAGGAACTAAATTCTGTGTCTCCATGTTTGGTTCTAGTTCTGGGTGAACAGAGTAGGCTTAAACTAGAAGACGTGAGTGGTGTGGGAAGTTGATACACTGACAACAAATCTGTTATGTATTGAGGTGCTCCATTCAGTGATTTATAGACTAACAGAAGGATTTTAAATTATATTCTCTGACTGACTTTTTATGCAAAACTGTGAAGGCACTGTTGCAGTAATTAATTAAATGAAATAAAAATGCATAAATTAGTTTTTCTAGATCCAGCTAGTCCTTAAATCCTGGAAATGTTTTTCAGGTGATAAAAGGCTGACTTAGAAACTGCCTTTATGTGCCTCTGAAGGTTCAGGTCTGAGTCCATCATGACACCAAGATTTTGGCCATAATCAGTGGTTTCTAGCTGTAGTAGCTGAAGCTGTGAGCTGTGAAAATTATTACGTTGGTTTTGTTTTTATTCAGTTGGAGAAAATTACTGTATGGTGCATCCATGTATCGATCTGTTTTTAGCATCTAGCCAACGCTCTGATGGGTTCATAGTCACCTGGTGAAATTGTGATATAAAGCTGTGTGTCATCTGCTTAGTTATGGTAACTGATCTTGTGTGCTATAATCTGAGCTAAGGGGAGAATGTAGATGTTGAATAGGAGGGGCCCCAGAATGGAGCCTTGAGGAATCTGGTATGTTATTTTTCATGTGTCAATATTATCTGAGCCTTCATTCTATAACATTCATATTACCAACAAAATTACAGCATCAAATACAAGAAAACAGATTTCCCCTTTCTAATGTGGATCCAATTTTTCTTTTGTCTTTTAAGTTTTTTATGTTTTCTGTTCACTATTTTCCACAGTCACACCCCATATTTCCCCCCACCTTGGAACATTAGCTTTTCTTCTACTTCTTGTTTGCCCTTGACCTATCTCTGTTTTAAGAATGTGTGCATTCATAAGCAAGGCTTTCTGATGTGACTTCTTTCAGGGCTTAACCTATATATTAAATCAACAACTGTTATGTGCAAGTGAAATTACATATGGTTGCATAAATTTCTGTAGTATTAAGACTGTTAACTTAGAATGGTGAAATATATTGTATGTTTTAGAAAGAACTTTGAATCAAGCATAAATGGAGTAAAGTTGTCCCAACTTTCCAAAAAGCAAACAAATATTTATGAGTATTTTGCTCTCTATTCTTGTGTACAGTCCACAAAGGATCATTCTCTTTTTCTTGAATTCTATGGAATGTGCTTTTTTGACTGTTTTCTAAAGACCTCTTCTTAGAGCTCAAATATTTTATCCTTATGTGAATTACTGTTGAATAAAGACTGACAGTGTTTCAGTGATAAATATTCTGTAATTGGACCTCAGTTGAACTGGTGTACCCTCTTGCTTGATGGATGGAAAGTCCCATGATATTTTTCAGCATAGTGATGCAGAAAAATAAAAAATTTAATGTTCCTTTTTAAATCGGCGGACCTTAATAATTAAAAATTGCAAATAAAATGAGCTGGTGCCTAAATCAACATTAGGTTTGAGATTGACCAAATGTAAAATTGTGAAAAATGTTTTTGAATGGTTTTAAAGGCGTATATCTAACAGTGAATGCTCAGTGAAATTGTATTTGTATATTTCAATGAAAACAAATGACGATGCTTTCCCAGAAATACCTAATTTAATGCAATAAAAGAAGTACAGGCATACGTCAATGCCAAAGCCTGGATTAGATTTTGGATAATTAAGGGTTTGTCTTCTTTGTCTCCTTCATAGGGCAAACTTTGCAAGTTCCTAAAATACCTGAATGGTCCCAATAGAACTTTTTGTTTGGGCTGATTACACCCTCATCTGTATTAAATTTCTCATGTATTTTCTCTGTCTTTCCCTCCCTCTCTCATGTGTTACTTCTCTGCCTGTCTCTTTCACTCTCTCTTCATCGGTAGTGATTGGCTGGCTTTCTCTCCCCTCTTTTCCTGTATAAATCACTGCTGGGGGTGGAGATAAGTACAGCCTGCTGTTTAATACTGAAGGACGCCACTATAAAAACTCCACTGTCCACGATTGCTCAGTGGCTTTCCTGCTGTCATTGAGAAAAAAACAAGTTGTGACTTTTGGATTCTTAGCGTTCCATCATGTGTAAAGGACTTGCAACCCTTCCAGCAACCTGCCTGAAAAGGTAAGCTCAGAGCAGTTAAACAGCAGAAGGATTTTTGCCTATGTAAACTAAATCAAATATCATGTCTGCTCTTATTCTGTAACACTAGCTTTAACAAGACAGATCAAATATTTCAGTTTTTTTAAATAACTTTAATAAAAAAAATGTTTTAATCTTGTTACAAATATTCTACCTTAGAATATTTAGATTTTTTTTTGTTGCAAACAAATCAAAATGTTCAATATTCATGTCTCCTCAGCGCTAAAGATATCAAGCACAAAATAAGCTTCTTACTGCAGAAGCCTGAACCCCATGCTGCAGATCAGAAGGAGATAAAGGAAAAAACTGTGACGGCTGCTGTAAAGAGGTCAGAATAATGTTATATTTTGGTTATGTCTTTTAATACTCTGGTGTTGTGATTTTTTTTTATTTTGTCTTAAGAAAGAAAATAAATCCTAGTGATTTTTAATAAAGTATAGATAAAACTGTATATTTGCACATGTTACAAAAAGATTTATACAAATATCTTTCTAAAAGCAAACAGTGGAGATAAACATACAAGCAAACAAGAGCGTGCGTATTTTTGAAGCAGCATCTACAACAAGAAATGTGCTCAGTTTTAATCTAGGAAAATACTTGTTGATAGTGCATTAAGGCATAATTTTTCAAGGTTAGTTCTTATTACTTTTAATCATCATTGGTCTATTCCATCTTAGAGTAGCATGTTGTTTTTTAAACACAATAAAAAAAAAATCAAAATTAACTTTGCTTTAACGGGATTTAAATGTGCTTTTGAACATTATGATTCATTCCTGCTTCTATGCTTGAAAAGGGTTGGTGGACCATTAGCTTTGAATTAACTTCTTAAAATGATGGAATCTTGGATTTCTTAAATAAATTAAAATATTTATTTCTATTTCTATTCTATTTGGGAAAGACAAATAGAATACAGATGGGTTGATTTATGTTCAAAGAGAATGTTTTGTGTTAAAGGGTTGTTGAAAACACCAACTTTTTCTCTTTTCTTCTGTAGCTGTTCAGACTAAAAATACTTCAACATTTTTTAATGATCTCTACTGTTTTTACTGAAAATATAAACTTAAACATGGAAAACCTGCGGAAATGCAGGTGTTGTTTTGACCCTGATCTGCCCGCAGGTGTAATTCCCATTACAAGCCTGTAATTGTCCTTTATGAGAAGGTGATGGCACTGACCTTTCCTTTTTAGGAATATATAACCCATCTGTTAAAGGTGACACATAATCAATACTTAGTTCAGAAAATTAATGTGCATAGAAATTAGATTTCTTATTTCTTGATATAGCTGTTCTTCTCATGACCTTTATAGTTGCAAAGACCAGAAATTTTAGTGAGGCATTTTATTTACATTATTTTCCATGGTGGAAAGGTCAGATGATGAACAGTGTAAACAGTAAATTGTGGATGAAATGTTCAGTAGTTTAATATTATCTTCTTCAAAAAATGTTTTTTGGCAAAATTACATAGTGAAAAATAAACCAACCTGTTAACATAACTTTTAGAATAACTTTTAGCTATTTTTTCAAGATGTTGTAAATAAGAAGATTAATCAAATTTAGTGAGCTGAAAAAACAGACAATAAAAAAAACATCAGAATCCCTAGGTCAGCCTTAGTAAACATATAAAATAAGAGCAGAAAATGATTATCTGTTTCTTAGTACATATAAATTCTAAAAAAAAAAATATATATACTTTTGTTATTTCCAGGGTCCCTGATGCTGCTGAAGTAGAGAAATGGAAGGAGTCGTTCAGTCATGTGATGAGCAGTGAACGTGAGTACATTAGAGTTTCACATCAATACATATAAAAGATACTCAGGGAGAATCAGGCAAAGTCCAGGTAATGATAGAGATCTAAACCGGCCTGAAGCAACTTGATGATACCAGTTACACTGATATTTACAGTCATGCTTGATTCAACGAGTTCTCAGCAAGAGGTCTCTTGGGGTTTATATACAAGAGGAAAGTATTTTATATAAACAACAGGATGGTTTTCATTAGACACAATGAGGCTTCAGCAGTCATGGGAACATGATCAAACAAGAGCCAGACAAACACTTTACTCATTAATGGTCGTCAATAAGCTTTTCGAAGACTGCAATTTCCATGTGTTAAGGTTCGAACCGGAAAAAGGAACCTGAGAAGTGGGTAATTAACTTTTACCTTATCATGATTACCCATTAAGTGTCTCTTCCCGCAAATAATAATGCAACCCTTGGGATTTCTCTGGAAATAGAACTAAGGCAGATTTTGATAGTCTGAACAAACATGCAAATTAAGCACAAACACACAAAGGCGCTTCTCAGGCTCTGGGCTTTTGCTACGTGTCACAAGGCACTGCTGAGAGGCCCCTCAGGGCAATATGACCAGTGCAGAGGTTGTGTGTCTGAGTTGTGTGTGATTGTATGTGTGTTTGCTAATCCAAGTCCTCTGAGAATCTTGCCGAGTGTATGGTAAAGACAGCAGAGCAATGACCTTGCGGGAACCAGCTGAGTTCTGACATGATGCATCCCATGAACTTAGTCATTGACCTCCAACATTGTCATTCCTTCTTTCCTCCTCCATCTGTCAGTTTCTAATGACCTGATCTTCTTTTGGAAGATTTTGTTTACCGTAATCAGTTTCCACTATCTATCATCTTAGTCTTGCGGAAGTTTGGATGAGCACAGCTGCATCCATTATGTTTTATGATATTATGTCTTTAGCTGAGGCTCCCGTCTATTTGTTCTGCAGTACTTTGTTACTCAAAGAATCAATCTTCTTTATTGTCTGATTACGTGGCCAATGGAACAATCTGCATTTATTTCTAAGAGAGATTAAAGAAATACTGTTGCAAATGTATTTCATTGTCTGAATACCAGTAAATAGAAATAAAAGAAAATATTGATTAAAAGAAGAATGATTATATTTATTTTGTTTTAATACAACTTATGTATACTATTAGTTATATTTTGTTAATTATGGTGTTCAGATTTGAAAAATAGCAGCAGTTTTTTGTTGCCTACCCACAAAAGTTGTTTCCAGAGTCATAAAGGAGTCCAACCCTTCACCTTGGGCGCTTTTGAAGTCAGACGATCTAGACTGTGGACGTTCGGCGCTCTGGTTGTTGAGCTCCTGTGCTCTTCCCCTTGCAATATAGAGAGTGGCTTTGCTTTATTTTGTTAGATGAATTGGAAAAAAAGTAATTTTAACATGTTTTTAAGCTACAAAGTATACCTAAAAACACCATCTGGGCAGTCAGTTCATCAGGATTATGATCCCTCTTAAATATTATTTGTTCGTAGTAGCAGACTAACATATACTAGCGGGGGAAAGTGCTGTTTGCAGCACTTGAACGTGAATATAAAACATTTTTTAGGCTTGTGGTAAAAACTGCAATTACCATATTGTAAACTGGAATACTTTTGGCCTGCAGGTTTTGCCATTTTTAGTCGAGTTAGGTATTTATAAACTGTTTTGCCATATCTAAGGCATTAATCATAGGAGTTTAACTCCTTTATATATGTATATGCATTTTACAGACTTTTATGCTGACAGCCATGTCAATGCAATAACGGCATTTTCCAAATTCTTTCTTAGTTCTTCTAGCTTTCATCAGACAAATTTATTTATTTATTTTAATTTTTTTAATGGCATTAGTGGCTTGTTTTTTTCGACATTAGGCTGACAGGAAAGGGGGAATGATAGACGAGGAGGGACATGCGGCAAAGGAACACAGGCCGGATTCGAACCCGGGTCGTTTTAAAATTGACATTTAACACAATCATTTATCACTATGTAAATGCTTTGAAAGCTTTATATAAAAGTACTTTATCTTATTTTAGAAAAGTAGGGAAAACTTTGCTTGCTAGTTACAAAACAATAAAAGAAATGAAGAACTATTGAGTGTGTTTTTCTTTTCAAGCTTGGCGAAGAAGCAAAAAAAAAAAAAAAGATGATATTAATTTGTTTTTCACAATTCTTTAGTAAGAGTACATTTGATTTTATATAACTTTTTCTTTTTCCTTTTACTTCTAGTGGGTCGTACAGTCTTCACCACCTTCTTAAAGTCAGAGTTCAGCCAGGAAAATGTTTACTTCTGGATCGCTTGTGAGGACTATAAGAAGACGTCACCTTCCAAGCTGGCAACTAAAGCGAAGCAAATCTACCAGCAGTATGTTGATGCAGATGCTCCCAATGAGGTAAAGAAATTTATTCTAACAGATAAGACAACGCAAATGAATCAGATCACCTATTCATTTTTCATTTCATTTATTAATTGAGTATTAATAAATGAACACTTGATATCAAAAAGCAAAAAATAAAGGAGAGCTGAAAAAGAAAGAAAAATTCCTTCCTTGAAAAAACATAATAAGGCTGCCTGAGACATAACATGTAAATAATCTTAGTGAAATAACTTCTCTATTGTGCTTCTCCTTGTTCCCTTCTTTACTTTTCTTTTATTGAGTTTTCCATTCATGTGTCAACATAGAATTCCCCCTTTGAACTCTCATCTGTTGCCACTGTTGCAAAAGGGAAACCAAAACACAAGTATAAAGCATTATCACATATGATTTACAGTTAAGCTAGAAAATATATATTTTTTTGTATTACACCTAAAGGTAAAATAGTGAGACTGCTAATGCATTTTATTTCAGTATCTTGAACTTCTGTTTTTTCTTTCCTTTTCATTCATTAAAGGTAAACTTAGATGCAGCTACAAGAGAAAAGACAAGGCGGGGAATTGAGAGCGGCAGTCCATCTTGTTTTGACGAGGCTCAGAAGATGATCTACACTTTAATGGAGAAGGACTCTTACAGAAGGTTCTTAAAATCCAATCATATTCAGGATCTGTGTCAGAAAGAGAAGAATACTGCTCAAGAGAAAAAAGAATGTGATTGGGTTGATAGTCGGCAGGTGTTAGCTGGTGGGGCCTAAACTAGGAATGACAAGAAGATTTAAAGCAGGTGCCAAAGTTAGAAGGTGCAGCAGAGAAGTAGACTAAGAAGGACAAATAGCCAGAAAGAGTTTGACCTTAAGGGTGATTCCTATTTTGGATGACTTTTCTTTAACAAACTCAACTTGCTGTTATTTACTTGCAGAGTTTAGCTGTCATATATTCAATAAAAGTGTAATGTTTTCTATCTCTGAATACATTCTGTCGTGTTTTTCTGAATCAGAGAGGTTGATATGGAGAGACTTTGCATTGTATTATAAAGAATGAAAGATGCAGTTTTCACAAATATGTGTGAAGTGAGGAAAATGAGAAAAAAGTAGGTTGTTTCCCAACCTACTTCCAGCCAACAGACAGGCTTAAGAAGCTTTAACTTAAAAAAGACCCTTGAACAAAGATTACAAAGAAGGGAAAGTTCCATTGACTGTTAAACTTTTGTCCATTTGATGTTCCCGTGTGGTCTTAAATGTCGTGAAACTTTGCGCTCAAAGTGAAAAACTTAATTCAGTGTTTAAAACTACCAAGACACTTCTCTGCACTTTCATTCTGACATTGAAACAGGAACAAAAATAAACTTTAATCTAAAAAGTGTGAACTACAGTCAATTGTTTTACAAGACTCACTTCAAATCCCCATCTAAAGAACCATGAAGGCTAAATGCTGACAAACTCAATTCCCTTTCAAGCCTAAAAAAAAAATAATATAATGGCTTTAGTTTGCTCATTTGTTAAGTCTGTTAAATTTAAGTGTTTGATATATGGCAGAATCATTCTGAAAATGAAGCATAATAAAGGAGTTTGTCACACAGTGGAGTTTAAGCCTTTAAAAGTTTTCAAAAAGCTTTCCAAAAAGTTAAAACTCAATACCAAAGAAATCAAAGTTGTCAAAAATAAAAAAAAGAACGTGCAGATATTTTCCTTTGGGCTCTGTGCATTTTGATTCTTTTTCAAATACCCTGTCACAGCTCAAAATTATTAATAGATATAGAAGGAAATATTTATTTGGTTGGTACCTATTTACAAACCAAACAGTATTACAACATGGATATATTGCTATAAAGCATAGTAACTGCGTTCTGTGAATAAAATAAACAGTCACCTGTTTTAAAATGAAATGTAGTTGTCAGGATGCACACAATAATCATTATTGTTAATATTATCAGTATAATTATTGGATGTACAATTAAAGCTTCCCATTTTTACAGTGTCTTTTTAACTATACCATCATTGTTTTTGAAAGCAAATGGATGTTCTAATGCCTCTTCTTATTACTTTGAAAATATTCAACTTTAATAAATTACCAATCAGCTGTGCTGCATGAACATCTTGACATGATCTCTACACTGTGAAATTAGTGACTTTGTCTAAATCTATAGTGGGAATTATGTTTATGATTTAATATCTGATATAGTGTTGTTTTATTGCATGCTATGTATGGAATAACCTTTGAAATAAAGTTTACTAGTTAATTGTTTTTGTTAGTGCATTTAAAACTTTTTTTATATTAGTCATACTGCTCTGTCTAAAATATTAGCAGGTGACTGAAATGCAGAACTTTAAGGATAATTAAGCGGGGCTTTCAGAAGTGTGTTTCATTAAAATGTAAACTGTGATTAACTGAAAAACAATTCATTGCATATCTTGATATTATTCAATGATGCTATTGCCCTATTTATGTCATGTCTATGATGGTTCAAAATTAAAGTTTGCTTCAAAAGTTGTGACGTTTGTGTGTTTTTAATCATTTTTTTACACAAAACCTTTCTTTTTGTTGAATGACAATAAAGGCATTCAATGGTTTTGTTGGCCATGTCCTAGACCACAAAAAAAGATGTTCCTTGTATTCTTTATATACAGTGCTCAAATAAATAGATAGATAAAGGGAACATCAAATAACATTTCCTAGATCTGAATGAATAGAATATTCTTATCGTAAACTTCGTTCTCTATAAATTTGAATATGCTGACAACAAAATCACTCAAAACTCAGCAATGGAAATAAAATGTATTAACCAATGGAGGCCTGGATTTCTTGTCAGACACAAAATCTAAGTGTAAAAACACACTACAGCCTGACCAAACTGTATTGTCCTTTAAACATTAAGGCTCAGTATTTTAGTAGTTTCCTGAGGGGTCTTCTCCCAGACCTAGAATGAAGCATCCACCAACTCCTGTACAGACAGTGGCTCAACATGATGTTGGTGGATGGATTGAGACATGAAGTCCCAGATGTGTG